AAAAAAAAAACTTAATACAGAGAATGGACTCTATTAGTCAATGCAGTTTGATATCTACTTACAAACAAAAACAAAAGTAATGAAACACAACGATGCTTCTTCGAGAAGATCACACAAAAGCATGAAGTGTATTTTTCACGTAGAAGATGATGAGAGTCATCAAAGATTTTTCAAAAACAAGATACTAAATAAAAATCCATATCAATTGTAAATATCAGACCTCGAACTCTTTTATCTTAATTTTGATTTTTTTGATGACTACTATACATTTAAAAATACAATGAATTCGATTGTAAGTTGAATAACTCGAGAACGTAAGCAGCTAGAGACTTGTGCTTTTCAACATTCAAAAAAGAATAATAAATTCTGATTCGAATTGATTACTTTTTAATTCTATTCAATTGTTTTGAATTAGTCGAAAATAGACTTGGCATGTTATAGAAAGATTTTTTTTGTTTAAAGTAATCTAAATATTTGGTTTATTTAGACAATAAGAAAAGATGATGAAGATTCTGATGATGAAAAAATTCTCGAAGAACAACAATCAATTACTACTTCAACACATGATATTGATATAAAACATCGATATTTTATTGGAAAAGATTATTCAAATGCATATGAAAAAGATTTTAAAGAACTTCACGACTACAGAACAGGTAATTAGTAATTTTTTGTTTTTCATTTATGTCAAATCTTCTAATATAAACTGTACTATAGATTATATTACACGAACATTAGTACCACGTATGCCATGGCATGATGAAGCATTAGTTGTATTTGGTCAAACAGCTCGAGATGTTGCAAGACATTTCATTCAACGATGGAATATTCATAAAGTTAGCTAAAAAAATTGATTTACTTGATTTTCATCATTGAAGACTGACTATCGGATCAGATAGAATCCATTCTATATGTTAAATTTTTATTATAATTAATTAGTTTATTATCAAAACAAGTGATTATCATCTGAGTTGATAACTAATGTCCATTTCAAAAAAGACAAAAAAGACGACTGGATATTTTTTTTTTTGAAATGGACATTAAGTCAGTTTTAAATCTATTGCTTGATCAAAAAGTTGTTAGCTCAATCCTTATGAGATGAAAATGTAAAACACGATGTAGGTATTGTTACTAATTACGCGAATATTATTTTCTTAGATATACTTTGGAAATTATTTCTTCATCATTTACGGAAATTCTCTAGAACGGCAATACGAAAGCAGTGGTTATATTGTCATAAGATTCTAGTGATATGTAATCGCTGAACATGTATTCAAAGGTCTGTGAGCAGCGGAGGATTCAAATTTCTACCCTATGTACCCAGGTGAATGAATCCGATACCGGATCCAATCGGATCTGATCGGATCCGACTATCCGACAAAATCCTATGGAATTCCGGGAAACGGATCGACTAACGGATCTGACGGACGAAACCTATTTTCTTAATTACGTGCTAATTAGCATTTTAACCCAATACTAGAGACCAGTCATATTTATACGATGAATTACTATCGGAATCCGATAGTAGGATCCTATAATGTCTAGACACTAAGGTTCCGTTAGTAGGATCGTCTCCCGGATTCCTATAGGATTTCGTCGGATTTATAGAAATTCCAATAAAATCCGATCGGATCCGATTGTTGGAATGATTCTCCGGGGTACTTCAACACTCCTTTTAGATCGTGTTTTATAAAACAGATAGGTTTCATGAACTCCACCATAGGGATCACAATCCAGTGATCTCTGTGCCGGTCGCAGGTCCGGAAAAAGGAGGAGCGTTAAACGGAAGGGGTGCAAATACCGCCGTTTGTGAAAAAGAAAAGACGACAGAAATCAACCATGAACGGTCAACGTCAAAAACCATACCGGCTCGGACGTCGCCCGGGTGAACAAGGTCCACGTCCTCTGTCGTGGAACCAGGACAGAGTCGAAAAATTGGCTACTAGAACAACCAATCGAACAATCAATCAGGCAATAACAACAAGCCACGCAATAACAGCACCAACGTTATCAATACCAACGATAAGAAACCAGTTACAAGCACAGACAACAACGACAACAGCGAACAGCCATGTATCAAACAAATTAAAATTGACAAAACGTATTTTCGCTGTGGGTACTTGGAACGTTCGAACATTATGGGCAACCGGTAAATTGGAACTATTAAGAAACGAAATGAAACACTACAGATATGATGTTATCGGCATATCAGAGGTGCGTTGGAGAGGAAAAGGTGAAACAACAAATGGTGATTTTATTTGGTCAGGTGAAAGCAATACACATACAAAAGGCGTGGGAATGTTACTAAGCGTAAAAGCTCGTAAAGCACTTATCAGCTACAATCCAGTTAATTCAAGATTAATTTCGGCACGATTTACAGCAACACCATTCAACTTAACAATAATCAATGTTTATGCACCAACATCGGAAGCGTCAATGGATGACATTGAAACATTTTACGGCAATCTGGAAGAAGCGGTGGCGAATACTCCAGAAAAGGATATACTCATTATTACTGGTGATTGGAATGCAAAAGTGGGTGATAACAATACAGGATGGAAATCTGTCATGGGTAAATATGGCTATGGAACAATAAATGAACGTGGT